TCTGTTGTTGATTTACACAGGTTGCTAAACGACAACATTATGGTAAGCTCGCTGTAGTGACCGCTGAGCCGTCCTCATTATGGCGCAATCGCGAATTCAATCACGTGTTGCTTTTATGTCCATAAAATGACTGAATTTTACGTTTGTTGTAGGAGTCTTAAATTTTTGACTGATGCACCAATGATACTCACAAAAACCTACCGGCCTCCATCTGGATGCCACAGAGGCCACATAAACAAGGAGTCATTGTAGCCCCACTCTTTGATAACCTTCCACACAACGGCTTTTAGCACACTTAAATGCTAGTCATATTGTTTTTGAGGAGGACTATGCACTGAGTGCCATTGAAATGGAGGTCGCACAATCAAACCCAGTCTTTCTTCCCTCTCTCAGGCACCAGTTCGAACCAGCTAGGCATCAGATACAGCAGGCACCCAGGCGTGTCGCTCCAATGACGCATGGCTTGCTCTGAGCTGACCCCGTGTGTCTCCAACGCATCCACCGCGAGACCCGTTGTTGGAGTGCCTTAGGAATACTACTGGTGTGCAGAATAGGGATTACGAGATTATGCCGAGGATTTTGATTGAATTCGACTCAACCCTAAAAATGCAGGTGTCGTCACCTAACTTCAATTCTTCGCGTAATAATTTGCAAATTTGTTACATTCATAGATATATTATATGGGTATGGATGGATGATGGCGGCTAATAAGTCAGAAATAGCCTTTCCAGTCTCTTTAGATTTTGTCGTTTCCACTTTTTCAATATACGTTTATGTTGTAAGTGCTTTACCGAGCGGATTACGAAACAGGATCGTACCGTTCGATATTGCAGTTCAAACTAGAGTCCACGCAAAAGTCGCGCAACAATAAGTAGCGACACTGTCTCAGTGGTAGAACGTTGAAATTAACGCCTAGTGACCCAAATATATGGATTTGAATATTAGCTAATTTAACCTCGGGGTTTGGTATTGTTGACTGAAGCCGGCTATTAAGCTGGAAATGATCCTTCGAGTTCATTTTCAGTTGCCCCAGTTGTGAAAAACTCGCAGCCTCGATGAGAGTCCAACCCACACAGGAGGGGAGGCTTTTGTGTAGCCAACGCGCTACGACTGAACTACGAGGCTTACTATGAGCCGTGAATTTAACCACACTTGTGTCGATTTACCCGCCCAGCCTACTAGTCGTATGGAATTAAGTTAGTCTAGTAGTTCATTCTGGAGGATTCTAGAGGATTGCTTATGATATCCTGCCTGACCAGTCACCTTGCTGTACCTGTAATGTTAGATTCCATACGATCAGTAAGTTGGGCGGGTAAATCGGCCCAAGTGTGTTTAAATTCATGGCTCACTTTGAGCCTCGTATTTCAATGGTAGAGCGTTGGTTGCGCAAAAGTCTTCCCTGCTGTGCGGGTTCGACTCCCACCGAGGCCACAAGTTTTTTACAATGGGTCAACTGAATTATTCAAATCTGCCAAATGCCCCAGTTCCCTTTGTCTTTGTCTCATATATATATATATATATGTTCCATGGAATGGGCACTCTTTAGATTATTATATATAATCTTCAATGGTAGACAGGCACTCGCCGACGGATTGCCAAGTTCTAGGGCTAAAATAGTTTTATATCCGAACTGATGGATAAACGTCATTTTTTTTCTTTAAATGCATTTGATATGGGCCAAAGTAAATGAAAGTTTGTTTTATCTTCAAGTGAGGTAAGCAGATTCGTATTAACGTTCGTTGGAACACATTCTTAGGGATTTGCACAGAGGAATAAGAATCCAAAGACACTCATTCTTTATGATTCTGCGTTAAGAATATCGTCTCCGGTTGACGAACATATCCCTGACTCTATGAAAATGGAATTGGGGATTCCAGACCCTTATCCACCTCCTGAGGCTAAAATGACACTATCACTATTCTTAAACATTCAACAGGCGCATAATAGCCTCAGGTTTGACAAGTTCATGAGCCTTCTCTTAACTTTTCCGCTTCACGTCTTTAAATTCCTGTAACGGAATGTTACCCATCACCGTCTCACACGAATATATAATTTCTCCCTGGTTTTCCTTAAAAGGGCTTGCGATTGTTGTAAGTAACTGTGTTGCCAATATTCATAATGAACGTAAGCAAACGGCTTTCCACAGAGCTCAGAATATACAGTTTTTTTTCATTTTTTGAACCGAACTCTTATTACTGGAATTTCTCTCTTTAAAAAGAGAGTATTTTGAGTTCAGGCTTCGTGGGAATGGAAGAATGATATGGTTTCCTTATCTGATTAGACAAAAACAGCAAGGCACAAATACTGCTCAAATATGAAGCTTCTTAACCAGTGCACATCTGCAGACAGGACTGAGTGAAAGGAAACAAAACCGTATTCCCTCTAAACAAAATTTAAGGACTGAGTCCAGCTAACCAATTTTCGCTTTCGTAACGAAGACTGCAACGTATGAGCAATTCTGGTGGCGTTGTGCAGTAAAAGTGATGGTCTTTAATAGTCGAAGCTTTACCAGAGTACAACTGAGCACGAAGTACGACAAATTCTAAAACATCGCACGAGGTGCAAAAAATGGGATTAACTTTTTTTCGATAAATAAAGTTCAGCTCAATTTTAAAACCGCATCGACAAAGTATGGCCATTTACACATGTCTAAAATATGCTTGATCAATGATTGGCCATAGTTCTGATCATCGGACATCATATTTACAGGCCAAGTGAAGTTGATTTGGTTTAACCTTTTCAGCAGAATAGACGAACCACCAGAATACACAAGAAATTAGCAGTTCAGCATTGTAAACTGAAAAAAACCGAACCTACTGGCAAGACGCCAACTTTGATGGCTATATACAAATCCTGGTTTTACCGCAATTATCACGAACGTGGGTATTGCAGTCAGTGAATTCACATTGCGCCGAGTTTTGAAATCATAAAATGGATGGCATAAATAGCCATCAAACGTGGTTTACACCCCCTCGGTAGTGAAACCGTCTGTTTTCTTGCAAAACAATAGAGCATGCGAAAAATGCCCATCAACAAGACGGTTTTGTCCAAAATATTGGTTACATAAATAAAATATGCTATTATTAATGCATTTACCGTTCTGCTTACTCTAGCCAAGAACGATTCCACTAAGTCTGGGTATTATGAGTTTATAAAGGAATGTCTGGGTGCATCGTACGGATCCTTTTTAACTATCCGAATTATGAACAAGGCGAAGATCACGAGTTGAGCAAGATTTAATGACGTCATGCAATTTCGTGACCTCTCAATCAGCTGCAAACGGTCGTTGCCTATTAATAAGAGAATTAACTGTCCAATTAAGTGTCAGTCTCGAAGGTTGAAACATGATAGGTAAAGGGAGTAGAAACAATTAGTCATAGATATGGGCGCATAGTGAGGGGTAGAGGAGGGGGGAGGTAATTGTCACAGCATAGCAGTTCATGAAAGCCTGCAAACGTGGTTGAAAGGGGGGGGTTGGGGCAGGGGACGGGGTAGCAGTCAGTCCTAAGGGTGACGAGGAGGCGTAAGCGGGAATGAG